CGGGCGGGCGGGCGGGCGGGCGGGGGGCGGTGGCTGTGCGAGGCCCGGGGTTCTGCGGGGCACGTCAGCGGGGAGGGGCCGTGGTGTTAATGATGCAACCAGGGAAGGAGCTCTGCCTGCGGAGATGTAGTAAGAGGGGGATAGGTGGAGAGGCTTACACGGCTTCTGCACGTAACAGGGCGGGATTGTAACGCGAACATTGAAGGATCAGAGTCGTCAGCAGGTGGTCTCAGATGGAGCGGATAAGCCCAAATGCTCATAACGAGTCCTTTATTGAGTATTCTTGTCTCTTTCTTTTGTCCTCCTCGTTCTCCTCAAGTGAGTAGAGATCCTCAATCAAAAAGGAATGAACAGCACTGGTGATTAATGCGTAATGCTATTAAATGAGTAACACGCAATTACAGTTGTAGCAGCAACAGATGGCGAGACGTTCCCGTGTCTATAGTTTGAGAAAGCTCAAGGAGGGAAAGGTGTTTCTTTTGTCTTCTGTTCATCACAACAGACAACCAAAACCAAATAGGGTTATACTGATCTCAAACTAATGTAGTTAGTGACAGACCCAAGGAAAAGGGGATGAGCGACCTGTAGAATTGAGAGTGGGTGGGCCTGTGGATGAAGGTGGCAATGGTCAATACCATTGGTGGATAAGGGAGAGAATGGCCAGGATGGTAGTTTGGGCCAAGCTGGTGGTAGACTTCGTCTATTAGAGTAAGCATGTGCAGCCACTCAGGGCACTGATTTCTTTGGCTTAGAATTGGCACTATCAAAAAAGCTGTGTTTAGCAAGCAGGACTAAAGCAATTGTGCAACTGTGCAGTTACCATTGTTTCCTCCTCACCTCTTGGTCTGCTTGAAGCTCAGTGTAGGATTTCCATTGTGGTTCTGTGGTTAGGTTACCTTTGCATGGTTATGTAGTTGTACTCTGAAAGTGTTACACGATTTTAAGGGGTAAGATGAGGGCTCACTGAAAAAAGGAGGGAGACGAGAAAGAGAAATTTGGGGCATGGAAACAGGAGCTGGATGAGGAGCAAGAGAAAGAAGTTGAAGTGCAGCTCTTAATGAAAAAAGAAACAAGTGCTAGAAGTGTCACAGCCTTTTCCTTTTAACTCTTTAGGTCTTGATGTAGTTTTTATAATTTTGGAGTGTTTTCCTTTGTTTTTGGATGGGTTTTTACTTTGCTACTGAACTGGAGTTTAGAGGTTGTACTAGAAAATAGGATAATCCAAGATTAACTGTCACTGTTACATTGCTAAAGACTTTTTCCACCCATCTCCTCATTTCTTCCTCAGACTTACCTAGTTAGGAAGAGCTGACTGCTAAAGAGAAAATGACGTCTCTAGAAAAAGGTAGGTTGTTCATATGACATCTAAGTAGGCTGGGCTAAAAGTGCTTTTAACTGGAATTCTAAATACAAGTTATGCTGTATGCGAGGCTCCATTCATTTAAACTTATTCATTTTCTGTAGCTATGAGGAAGTAATTCTGTGACTTCATTATTGCAGTGAAAACCAGAGCTGCCTGGATGGAACAGTAATTAAATGTTACTTTTTCTAATCCAGCTTTGTATTGAAAAATAAGCTTGTCACTGGTACTGCCATCTGTATACTTATCTGCCAGTGCTCCTCTGGTGTATAGAACCTTTTGGTACTGATTCAGCTAACTGGAAAGTAGGGCAATATAATGGTGTTACCACAGCATTTTTGAAATCCATTATTTGGATAGAGGATACAGGCTCATGTTACTGCCTGCAGTATGAGGAAAAAAGCAGTGTGGTAGCCATGTTCTCAGAAACTTTCTGTCTCTCACCTACTGTGAGGAAACTTTACTACAATAGTAATTCATTCGGCTGAAAACTTAGTGAACTTAAATAAAAATGTAAATGTGCATATTGGGGACTGTAGAGCAGAATGCAGCATTACTGGGAATACTGGTGTCTGTTGATTAGAAGTGGAGCAGAACTGGCTTGTTGACTTTTCTTAAACCTTCATTTGGACAGCTAAAGACACGTGTTAGTACTTAAAAGTCTGCTAAACTTCTTAAGGTGTCAGCAGCTGTCTAGCTAATAGCTGTTTTTCATTTACTTCTTGCTTTTAAAATGAAACTGCTCTGATTCTGTCAGCTCCCAAAACCTGATTTTGCTTTCAGCCTATGAGTAATGTTGTCAAGAATTTTTTCCATGCAAGTTCTTTTTTGTGTCTGCATTTAATCTTGTGTGGCAGCATGAAATATAAATTAATGCAATTCAGATCAATGTTTGTGTCTTGTACTGTTAGTTTTAATGAGGAATGCACATTTGAGTAAGAACTTACTGTGAGAGTTGTGAGGCACTGGAACAGGTTGCCCAGAGAAGTTGTGGATGCCCCATCCCTGGAAATGTTCAGGGCCAGGTTGGATGGGGCACTGAGCAATCTGGTCTAATGGAAGGTGTCCCCGCCCATGGCAGGGGAATGGATGAGCTTTGAGATCCCTTCCAACCCAAACCATTCTATGACTTCTCTGACTTGTGCTTGATAATTGCTGCTGCAAAAGACTATTTTACACGTGCAGTGTACAATTAAAATCTGTAACTTTGAAGTACAGAAATTAAGGAATAGTTACAGTGAGACTATAACCAAGTTGAAAGGTGGTAAACTTTCCCTCCACAATTTCTAAATTATAGTTGATGAGGGCTCATCACCCATTCGAGGACCTGGCGATGGCATGGAAATGGAGCAGACAGCTGGATCGGTGGAAGTAATTACTGGAGCCAACACTACGAACCATCACATCCACCACAGCCCACATAAAAAGACAGCCTCTTCCCTGAGTCCTGGAGTTCTGCAGCTGGGGAAAGTACATGCTGACAAATCAGTGGAAATTGAAGCTATTCGTATATTAGTCCCCAAAGCAGCCATCACCCATGTTGTTCCGACTAAAAATGCTAAGGTAGCTAAATCTGTGGGACATAAAGGAGACACGTTCCATCAGTCGGATGGAGCCACAGATCCCAAGAAAGAACGGATAGAGCTTAAAAATGCAATTGAAAAGCTGAAAAATTCAGAAAAGCGGTTGTTACAGGATAAGGAAGGTCTCTCTAATCAGCTGCGTATTCAGACAGAGGTAAGAAATTAAAGGTATTTTCTCTCACACAGCTGAACTGTTTTGGTTTATATAAGCAGTTTGTGAATGTGACCAAAGAGAACTGCTATGACACTCTAGCCTTGAAACATACAGTTTCCTTTTTGAACTTACCAGCTAAGATACAGAGTAGAAGTACATCAAAGTAATCGAGTCCTGCTTCTCTGACAACAGATAAAAGAATCAAAGGTTTGAAGCTGGGAGAAACACATTAGGGGGCTGCAGGGAAATGAATCCTTTCATGAGAAAAGATTTTGTTTCTCAACCACTAATGAGAAATGTTACGCTATAGAAAGGGGTGACTATAATTTTCTATATAATGTATCTGTGGATGTCTTGTCTAATCCTTTATCTTACTGATTCCAGAGTTGGATACTACTGAAACTGTGTTTCTTGTAGCAGGTTTTCATTCTTCCTCTTTTTATCTGTTAGAGTTTAAAGAAGGATACGTTAAACATGCATTAGGCTCAAATGTTTATGCTTGCCTGGATGCATCCCATTCTGTAAAGAGAAAGGCAATTTATTGTTAGCAATTTACAGTAATTTGCACTGTATTCTGGAAGTAGGAATTGTTTTATTCTCTGCTGATAGTCACAAGAGAGTCTGGTCTAATTCCAGGTCAATCGGGAGCTGAAGAAATTGCTTGTTGCTTCTGTGGGGGACGATCTGCAGTATCACTTTGAACGGATGGCTCGTGAGAAAAATCAGCTCATCCTAGAAAATGAAGTCCTGGGCCGGAATATGTCTCAGTTGTCTGAACAATTAGAGCGCATGTCTATCCAATGTGACGTGTGGCGAAGCAAGTTCCTAGCAAGCAGGTATTGCCTCTCACAGAGCTGTCATAACAGCATTCTCTTTCAGTCTTTCATCACATGCACTCATTGCAGTGCGCTTACATATGCAGAGGACAGCCACAACAGCTGTACTGACATCTACTATGACACATGAGTATACAACAAAGGTATAAAGAAAGTAAACTCCTTGTAAATCTGAATAGTCCTACTTTTCAAAGGTTATACAGTGAGTCCCAAACCTCCTAAAATCTCAGCTACAGTTCTTGCTAACATAGCAAGAGAAGTTCTTAATTCTGATAAACTGTGTGCAGTTTAGGGTTTAAAAATGTCTTCCAGGGCACCAGTCCTGGCTTTTCTTAAAGGTAATTAGCTTGATTTTCATCCCCAACCCCCAGTATTGATACAGTCATCAATTTGTGAAGAAACTGATGTGGTTAAAAGCTCCACTTAGAGTGGTTCAGGGCTCTAGTATGGAAAAAAGAGTGGGGGCAATCTCTTAATCAAACACTGTGTTACTGCACAGAATCCCATTGTTATTTGACTTCTGTAACCATAAAAGCTGCTCTGAAAGTCAGAATATCCTTTGACAATGAATTGGACTTTTAACTGTAAATAGTGTTGTAGGATTTTTAATTTTCTACTGTGCTTGGATATAACTGACTGAATTATAATTATGATGCTTAGCGCATATTACAAAAGACCTTGCTGCTTGAAGGAAGTGGTAATAGAGTACAATTTCCTCCCTTTAATTTGCTGGTCTTAAGAAGTTTCAGCATACTGGGTGAATGGTAAGTACTTTCAAGTCCTAGCTAAGCAAGAGTTACTATCCTAACTTGTTTTTTTTAGCATTAATAGGAGTTCTGAGGTCAGGGATGTGAGTCCCAGCAATGTGCTTAGAGTAACACTCTTCAATATTGCAACAATCTGGTTCATTTTTATCTCAGATTTTTAAATGTCATTCTGGTTTGTGCATTTGGAATATCACAGGCATTTGAAATGCCTGCTGGAGGGGTCAGTGCCAAGCCTCATGGCAACAGCAAAATGTGACAACACCTGTCTCGTTTGTAGCTCTTAAACACTTTTATCTGGTATCTAGTTATTGCCCCTGAGAAAGGCAAAGAGGTAAATGAATGCAGCCTGTAGCCATAGCTGTTATGTTTAGAGATGAGTGTGAACAGATGTGATTACAGAATACTTGTGAGAAATGTTAGTAAAACAAAAATGTATTCAGCTTTTTCTTTCACAGTATTCTTGTCAACCATGTTCATTTACTAAAGGTATTTTGAAATGTCTGTCATTAGATCTGTATTAAGTGACCTAAAATTGTTTAAACTCAGTGAGTCAAAACAGAATTTTGCACTTGTGTTGACTGGAGTTGAAATTATTCTTAATACCTGTCCTTTGTAATTAGGTTGATACAGGCTCTGTATGGGGGAGGGGAGAGAGAACAGCAGCTTAATCCTCAGTTTGAACTGACAGATGATGATCTGTAGTAGAACAAAGGTGACTTCCAAACTGTTCACTTACACTACTGACTGTAGATTTCTTTTGCAGGGTTATGGCTGATGAGTTAACTAATACCAGAGCAATTCTTCAGCGTCAAACCAGGGATGCCCAAAGTGCAATCCAGGACTTGCTAAATGAACGTGATCAGTTCCGTCAGGAGATGATTGATACACAGAAGTATGGTTTTTTTCTAATCCAGACTACCTCTGTGCCAACTTCATTTTTGCCAGTTTATTCTAGGCCAGAGAAGCATCAAATAACTTTCACCTGTTTCAGTGATAGTCAACAAAAATTAATTATGCTGATGTATAGTATCATTACTTTTCAGTCTTAGACCTGAAAGAGCAAAAGTAACGTAATTCTTTCTCCATTCTGTTGAGGTGTGAAGTCTTAGGGGTAATAAACTGTGGAACTGACATCACTCATATCCTTAGGCTTTCTTGATTTAATCACTTACTGTCTTGACTTCAAGTCTCCTCTGTCTCCTTCCAAAACACAGAGATTCTTCTACCTACGTGGACTTTTTAGTGCTTATTCTGCCATATGTCAAATAAGTTTTAACATTATTAAAGTAGTGTTTTGGTGAGGTCTTGGAGAATAGGCTGTTTGTCTCCTTGTTTTTAAACACTTTTTTTGGTGAAGATTTAGCTTGTGCAGTAAGTCTTGGGAAGAGACAATTCCTCTTAAGTGTGCTGTGTGCTGATTATACAGTATAGAGTACAAAGCCCACTAATCCTGCTTCTTTCTTTCCTGCACAGGCTGCTGGAGGAGCTCATGGTCTCTCTTCAATGGGGGAGACAACAGACATATTACCCTAGTGCCCAGCCTTACACTACAACAGAGCTAGCAGCTGTGAACTGTAAGCTAGCCAAAGCTGTGAGCTCACATCTTCTGGGAAATGTTGGCACCAACAGTCCAAAAAAGACTTCAACAAGTGTGGAGTTTTGCAATACCCCTGCTGAGAAAATGGCTGAAATGGTAAGAACTCTTGATACATGTCAATCTTTATATTGAGGTTCTGGACAGATAGATAGATATTTCAACTTGGAAAAAAAATGAAAAGTTGCTTTTGAGCAGAAATCCTTCCTAGCTGTTAGGGAAGGAAAAAAACCATTAAACAATACAGAAATATTTTCAGTCTCAATTTTTTCATCCTTAGATGTTACGTGTACTGGATCCAGCTGCACGTCCGGAAACATCAACAGAAGTTTCTTTTTCTGAGGCTTCACCATCTTCCTTCCTTTCCTCAAAGAAGAGTATTGGAAGGTTTCACCCATATACAAGATACGAAGATGTAACCTTCAATTGTTGCAATCACTGTCAAGGAGAGCTGATAGCCCTTTAAAAATTCAGCCAAGACAATTGCACATGCACTCCTGAAGAATTACACTAGTTGATGTTCAGCATGCTTCCCTTTGTCCTTTTTTTCATAATGGGTGGGTTTAACATTGGAAATCGTGCAGTTTCTGCTTCTCTACCTCTTGAAGTTAGGGACTGGCAGGATTTCTGTAGCCTCTGGGATACTTCTACTTCTCAGTCTGGAAAGCTACTTATTTTCTTCTACAAAGGCACAACTATTTAAGGTTTATAGTCTTATTAGCAAATCTTAATAAATTTCCCTTTAGAGGGAGACAGAAGTATAAGTATACCAAAGTAAATGACATGCTGATAGGTTATGTCTAAATTAAAAAAAAAAAGGTAATGGAAAATGGTCAGCTCCATGCTTTTTTTTTTTTTTTTTAAATCTTAGCCAAGGGGATGAACCATCCCCAAGTCTCTGTGCAGCCTTTTAAATTTAGTAATAAAAAGGAATATGTGCAATGATTCTTCATAGCTGTAAGCTCTGAAGGGAAGAGCATATGCAGTGTCAGCCCTACTGGCAAGAAAGAGAAGAAGCTTGAATGAACTCTAGCTAGATATATAAATAGTAACTGGTTTCAAATGGATTCTAGAAAACTTGAGGTGTGTGTGGAAATTATTCTTGTGTTTTCATAAAGCTGAAATAATGGCTTTTCCATCTGTTTCAGCTTCTAGAGTGAAGCTGTTGCATAGCTGAACCTCAGAAAAGGCAGACTGATGTACTTCCTTTAGTACATGGTGTTGAAACCTGACCTAATGTTAGTACTCAGTCCTTGCCTAAGGTCTTCCTAGGTATTACAGGAAGATGAAGATAGGCACCAAGTTTGCACAAGTACTGTTATAAAAAAAAGTATTTTTTTACTTGTATGGTTTTATAATCTTAATGTAGGTTTGAAGTTCTTGACATATGTTTGAAGAGAACTTTTAGCAGCTAATCCGCTAAATCCAAAGAAGCCTATTTAAGTTTCTCAGTTCGACCCCCCAGATTTACCATATGTAGCTGTCTAGTTTAGGGGAGGGGTTTCTGAAATGGTTGCTTTTACCCAGTTTTCCTTTGAATCTCATACTATGATCAGATCAGTAAGTTATAAGTTCTTGCTGTTGCTGATCATGCTTTGGTTTGCATGATGAAAACTACAATAAACTTTCTTTGCTTGCTTTCAAGTTACAATTTTGGATTTAATACAGTGATATTTCTGACCCTGTTCAATGCACCATAAAAGGAACTATATGACATTGACCTGTGAAACCCTTCACCCTGCTGGTCTGAGGTAATGAACCAAGAAGCATTTCTGTTGTAGCTTACTACAGTTAGGGAGATGATATTGTCTGTGTATGCCTGCACCTTTGTGAATTTTCCCCTGGATTTTCTTGGTAGATACAAGAAGCATTTCTTCCCTTTGGTGTCAGGGAAGGTACAGGAAGGAGGAAGGTACCTGCTACTCATGTTTCTCATGAGCATGTGAAATTTCATCTGCATCCACACCCTCTATTTATGTTGTCAAAAGCTGCAAGACAGCACTCTCCAGTCCAACACCAGTACTCTCTCAATATGCCTGTAACTAGCTCCAAAAAAAAAAAAAAAAGGAGAAAAATGCTAACAGAAAATCTGCTTTGAAGCTACTACACTTCTGTCTGTTGCAGTACTTCCAGAAAACATTTTGAATGAGGAAAAATAGAAGAGCAATGCCATGACCATGAAATCTGTTGGATGTATAGCTGGACAGAAAGTTCCTCCTCTTTCACTGACTTTATGATTTCATGAGTGACCTTGGCATGTTCTCTGTCAAGAGTTCACAATTTAGCTGGGTAAGGTGATGTAGTTTATTATAATAAATTTAGCAAACATTGACATCTATACAGGGAACCTAGCTTCCTTAACATTAGGAAAGGTCATAAATTGCACAACCTTTTAATTCCATGGAATACAAAACTACTGAATTTGACTCACAGAAATAAGTTTTACAAACTGTTGCACGCTCACCTACACGTTAGCCTTCAATGACCACTTTCCTTAAACCTTAAAAAGAAAATAGTCCTCTGGTCTAGAGCTGGTCAGCAGATCAATAGGAAGTAGTACAAGAAACATGATTTTCCAACAACATAACACCTGGTACAGCCTTCATCACAAGCAGCAGCACATAGCAATATTAATCCAGCAAAAATCCAACATCTTACATAACAGCCTGCATCCAGGAATTCATGGTGGAGTTAAAGTGCCTTTAAAAGATGGGAATGTGTATTTGCCACCCTCATATATGGATCTTGCACTCATTTAGATTTGGTTAAACCAAGAAGATCCCTGAGTTATGTATAAAAGCAGGCTTTTCAACAAAATTACAAATATATAAATAGGAAAATCATTGTCACTGAAGGTAATTGTTAAACTCAATTGAAAGCTTTAAATACACCACAAAAAGTCAGTTACTGTAAAGAGCAAAAACTCAAGCCATAAAAATTAAGAAGACTGTCACCAAGAACTCTGTGGTTACATCAAATTTTCAACTGTAATGGTCTGTGAAGTGAAAGGATTTTGGCTCTAAACTAAATACAGTGGATGTTCCGCATCTGCTTTGCTCTTCTGGCTTCTAATCTAAGCTGCCTTACTCTCTCTTTAGCAGCTAGTTCTGCTGCTCGTTTTTCTTCTCTCTTTCTTCTGAGCCATCTGTGGAGAGAGAAGGAGGACCAGAAGTACTGGCAGTTGCAATTTAAAGTTTTACATCATCCATTCAAAGGAGACTTGCCCCCCCCAAAACTGGAGTCACCCTGTCCTGCAAGGTAAGGTTAGGTATCATGGCTGAAACAGTCTAAAAGCTGCCACACCCAAACACAGGAGGCACTACCTTTCCACCCCAATTCTCCTGCTTCTGCACCTATCTTTACCTCCCCCACTTTGTTAAAGGCAGATTAACATTATACTCATTTAATGAACTGAATCAGCCCAAGCCTGCTCCAAAGCAGGCAAAAAAAAGGGTTTAGGGAGAAGATCCCTTTTTTAGCAAAAGCAATTCGCTATTTCAGCTCAGGTGCTGACAAGTAATTTCACAACAGTGAAGTAACAACATTAAGGAATTGATGTATTTTTGCTAGACTGTAAGTAAGTTTAAAAGGGCATATTCAGCAAAAAGCCCCCCCAAAACAGTAAGGACTTCAGCAGTAAAAATGTACCATAACTACAGTATCAAGCTGATAGCCTACAAAAGTTTCAGATATGGTTCCTTAGGAATGACCCTACTCACTCTTTAAAAGCTCTGTCGCATTCCTCTGTCCTTGGATAAAAGGCAAGTTCCTCAGCTTGGCGTCTCAAAAGTTGTATCTGTCTTTCCTTCATGTGTTCTCGGTGCTTTTTTTTAAGCCATAAATTGTAGGCTGCTTCTGGATCCCTATTCCTCTCCTAGTTAATAAAAAAGACATGTATACATATAGCTTATCATTAAAGGATCTTTATATTAATCACATTATAATAATTTTTTTGAACTCTGCTGGCATCTCCCCTCCACAAAACATACTTTATAAGCAAACTAGAGCATATGCTAATATGGCATGGGATATATACATGAGCCAGCATTCAAAGTGCTATGTTTAAAAGATACTGAAATTAGCTGTTCAAACCCATCACTGCAATGCAGAGGAACTTAAGAACAGTATCTGAATCTCCAGCTTTTGATCAGGTCATGTGCATTAACTGCTTGCCAACAAGTTCTGATGGCTAGGAACATGCTTCCCAGAGTTTTCTGGGTGCTTGTTCACTGCAGGGTTCACCCAAGTCATTCCCCTGATAAACAGGAGTATCACTGTATCCCCTGTGATTTTATAGTTAAGTTCATGTATGCCACTTCCACGACTCAAGCCACCCTGCCAAGCAGAACAACCCTAAACATGCAAGTCTATCTGGCTCTTCACTGAAAACAACGTAACAAGAACATTCCCTGTCGCTGTAAATTTTCATACACTTTGCTAAGAACACAGGCTTAGAATTTGGTTTTCCTATTTAACAAGAGCACTGTAGATCCCAGCTTTACCCTGTGAAGATCTTACTTTGATGCTCAACTCTTCCAGCTGCTTTGCACGGCGAATTCGCTTTTCTTCCTGCAGTTGTTCTTTCTTCTTCTGTAACCAAGCTTTAAAAACTATCTCATTCTCTCTTCTCTTCTGTTCTTCTAGTTCCCTTTGTCTTTCTTCTTCCTTAAGTGGAATGAAAGGTGAATAAACTTAGCTTTTAAAAGAATCATCTTAATCTGCAAAGACCTTCACAGGCAATAAATAAGCCACTGGAATTATATGAGAGACACACTAAAATACCAATGAAACGGGAATACTCAAAGACTGCATCATAGCTGATACTACTTTCAGGAAGAAATAACTTGGAGCACTCCTGCGGTTCATGACACATTCAGATGCTTTCAGTCTAATCCTTTTTGTGATTACCTCAATTTCCATGATACATCTCGACTCACAGACATTTAAATAGCATTAGGTGAAAACTTTTAAAATTAAGTCTGCCCAGTACTCAGATTGGCTTAAAATCACTTCAAATTGATGCAATTTAAAAATGAATGCAGCTCTCAGGCTTGATGGGTGACTAAACCCTAGAGGATATTTAACTACCTACGGATTGCAGGCACTACCTTATAAAAAAGGACTTTTTTCTGGATGTGAAGTTGTAATATGTTTACTTAAGGAGTATTAGTAGCTTTGCGCTTTTTTCAAAATGAAACATTTTTTACAAAATGAACTGATTTTTTCAAAACTGAAACAAAGATTCTTTTAATTATTAATCGCATTTTAGCTGAAAAGAAGTATCTACAAGGAGGAGAAAAGTTTTCAATGAATGCTTCAGGAAGCTGATTAGGACATTTTTTTACCAGGATTTACTCTCTTTGACACAAAAGTTACAATCTGTACTCATTTCAACACTTGCAGAAATCTATTCTTCTTGCAAATAGATGCCATTCCTCCTACCTACACACAACTTCCAGATTATCCTCTAAATTTATAATTTGTAATTTATTAGAATGAAAGAAACCCCACCAAAATGAAGCAGATGGATTCCAGTAATGTCAAGAAATGTTTCACGCCTGTGAGATCCATCACAGAATGGAAGAATTCCATTCAAGAATGAAGAAATAAGGTAACACATTCTTACCTTTCTGTAAGTCAGCCAACAAAGGAAGAAATTTAGCACATGCTGTTATGAAAATAACCTTCCTTGACTCCACCACATCACCTTTTACTTTAAATACACACAGCATGGTGTCGAGATCTAGTCTTGTGTGTGCAAAGAAAACACATCAATCGCTTGTCACACTTCATACCCCTCATTACTGAGCTAAGCCTCAGCAACCTTTTCAAATAAAGCAGGCTAGACCTATTTCCACGGATAGAAAGCAACCTTGGAAGCTACTTTAGCCAGCTTACTTAGTACATCATGGCACAGAAAAATGGCAGATGCTTCAGGCTCTTTTTATAGAGCATACAAAGCAAGTTATGTTTTTGTAATTGTATCATCATAATGCAAAGAGAAGAAAAACATCTAAGTTTTTTAAATCCTTGGTAAAGATTTCTGAAGTCCTCATTACAGCTGTCAGAGGCTGACTCTCTATTAAATTTTTTCTGAGTAAGGAGCTGAGAATTAAAAGGGTTCTCACAGTCATTCTCCTGTGTAAATTTTATATTATGACTGAACAATCTCCCATATATTTGCCTAATTCATACTTCATGAGCACCCAACTGTGAACCTGCCATTAACCTGTGGTTAATGTAAATTTCCTGCATTGCAGTGTAATCTGTGGAGATGTGACACCAAGTGCTAAATTCCAGGAATAGTGGGACTGTAACAGAACCTAGGTAGAGGCAATAAGCAAAAGCAGTAAGCACAGTATAGCAGAAAGCAGCCTACCTATGAAGGACATATTAAATAAAGACTTAATTTCTCCTCTGAGCAAGGCATGATCCTACACCACTCTGTGGGAAAGCAGCTTTGAAAGATTCTATACAAATCTCAGAGAATTATTATTATTATTCCTATTGCTAACTCTTTTATCTTGGAAAAATGGAATAATGCCCTGAGTACATGATCTCTGTGATGTAGAGGAACAGGATGGTCACTGTGTCTCTATATCTTTACCTCTTTCCTCAGTCTTTCATTCCTTTTTTCTAACTGC